TTGGGAACATTTCAGTTGCGTTGCTGTCTATGCAGGGTCAGACAGCTCTCAGATTCCATCAAAAATATCTTAATTTGTGTTCCGAAGATGAACGAAGGGCTTACGGGTTTGAAACGACATGAAGGTGAGTAATTAATGACAGAATTTTCATTTTTGGGGGAATTAACCCTTTAAAATTTTGGTAAGACTAGATTTTTTTGTGTTCTAACTACACCAAAGGTTTTCTTAAATTTGCTGTAGGAGAATGCTTGTCTTTAGAGCTGTATCTAAATGTGCTGTTTTTTTTTTTTAATTCTCCACCTCCTCCTTCTCTCTGTTTTCTCCATAGCGATTCCTTTGATTGAATGTCCTCAAGGCTATAAGAGGCTGAATGCCACTCGCTGTATCGGTAAGAGCCATGGCTTGTTTCTGCTTGTATTACTTTATTGCTCATGCATGCATATATGTTTATCTATTTTTTTTGTTCTTGCAGTGGAAATGTTTGTTGTGCTACATTTTTGTGTGTTTGTGTAGTTATGCATCGATTGTGATGATTTTTGATAAGATGGATGAGTTAATATGTCATTGTCACATACTTATAATTCAGTTCGCCCCCCACTGGCCTTTGTGTGTCACAACGGGCCACATACACCATATGCTGTTCCTTTTATTACACTGCCATTTTAAAACAGTGTCCCAGAGTTATCACAGAGAAGACTTTCTTTCACCGTTACGAGGAGAGACAGGTGGCATCTTTGATAGATCTTTCTAATCTATGTTGAAGTTGGATGTAATAGCGAGAGATCCAACAAATCAGGGCCAGCAGCCAGAATGACTTCAGGGCTCTTCCTCAGCCTGAGTCACAATTAAGTAACGTTCATGCTGTCACGTACTGTTAATGTATGCCTTGGCAATGTAAACTCTTGTTTAGCATGCTAATAAGACAGATTTGGGATGGGGGCGCCTATATTGTTTAACTGCAAATAAAAACAAGCTTAGTATTCTAGTTAGTAACTATAAAATTGCTGAAGCTGCTCATAATTACTCAACCAATCAAAAGTTTGGGGTTGGTACGATTTTTAAATCCTAAAAGAAGATTGATTGATTTATTTGATTAAAAAATCAATAATATTGTGAAAAATTATTATAATTAACAAAATTAATCGTTTTTATTTGTGTATATTTTAAAATGTAATTTATTTCTGTAATGGCAAAGCTGAATTTTCAGCAGCTATTACTCCAGTCTTCAGTCACATGATCCTTCAGAAATCATTTTAATATGCTGATTCTTTGCTCAAGAAAGATTTATTATTATCAATGTTGAAAAGAGTTGTGCTGCTTAGTATTTTTGTGGAATCCGAAATACTTAGTTTTTTAGGATTCTTTGAATAGAAAGCTTGAAAGAACAGCATTTATTTGAAACAGAATTTACTTATAACATTATAAATATATTTTCTGCCACTTTTGATCAGTCTCTATGACCCCAAGCTTTTGAGCTTTATTGTTTTTTAGTGCGGTCTATGCATCCACATTATTCTATATCAAGGCTTTGCAACCTTTGGTACCTATTTGTCTTTCTGTCTCTATTTCTCCACACACCTCCAGCCAAACACATCTGCTGTTAGCAGCCACCAACAGCCACCACAGTCTGCCAAACCCAGAGCTGAACTGCAGCTAAAAGTGAAGCAGGCTGTGTTAGCTGAATGCCACTCGCTGTATCGGTAAGAGCCATGGCTTGTTTCTGCTTGTATTACTTTATTGCTCATGCATGCATATATGTTTATCTATTTTTTTTGTTCTTGCAGTGGAAATGTTTGTTGTGCTACATTTTTGTGTGTTTGTGTAGTTATGCATCGATTGTGATGATTTTTGATAAGATGGATGAGTTAATATGTCATTGTCACATACTTATAATTCAGTTCGCCCCCCACTGGCCTTTGTGTGTCACAACGGGCCACATACACCATATGCTGTTCCTTTTATTACACTGCCATTTTAAAACAGTGTCCCAGAGTTATCACAGAGAAGACTTTCTTTCACCGTTACGAGGAGAGACAGGTGGCATCTTTGATAGATCTTTCTAATCTATGTTGAAGTTGGATGTAATAGCGAGAGATCCAACAAATCAGGGCCAGCAGCCAGAATGACTTCAGGGCTCTTCCTCAGCCTGAGTCACAATTAAGTAACGTTCATGCTGTCACGTACTGTTAATGTATGCCTTGGCAATGTAAACTCTTGTTTAGCATGCTAATAAGACAGATTTGGGATGGGGGCGCCTATATTGTTTAACTGCAAATAAAAACAAGCTTAGTATTCTAGTTAGTAACTATAAAATTGCTGAAGCTGCTCATAATTACTCAACCAATCAAAAGTTTGGGGTTGGTACGATTTTTAAATCCTAAAAGAAGATTGATTGATTTATTTGATTAAAAAATCAATAATATTGTGAAAAATTATTATAATTAACAAAATTAATCGTTTTTATTTGTGTATATTTTAAAATGTAATTTATTTCTGTAATGGCAAAGCTGAATTTTCAGCAGCTATTACTCCAGTCTTCAGTCACATGATCCTTCAGAAATCATTTTAATATGCTGATTCTTTGCTCAAGAAAGATTTATTATTATCAATGTTGAAAAGAGTTGTGCTGCTTAGTATTTTTGTGGAATCCGAAATACTTAGTTTTTTAGGATTCTTTGAATAGAAAGCTTGAAAGAACAGCATTTATTTGAAACAGAATTTACTTATAACATTATAAATATATTTTCTGCCACTTTTGATCAGTCTCTATGACCCCAAGCTTTTGAGCTTTATTGTTTTTTAGTGCGGTCTATGCATCCACATTATTCTATATCAAGGCTTTGCAACCTTTGGTACCTATTTGTCTTTCTGTCTCTATTTCTCCACACACCTCCAGCCAAACACATCTGCTGTTAGCAGCCACCAACAGCCACCTCAGTCTGCCAAACCCAGAGCTGAACCGCAGCTAAAAGTGAAGCAGGCTGTGTTAAGGGGAAGTGCCCAGCGTGTGTCCTGGCCGCAGGCACTCTGGGTCGGGAGAGACAGGAGTTTGGAGGCTGGTAGATCTGGGCAACATTGAGACATACATAGAAATGCATAAAAACTAATAGCAATAAGTTATTTAGTCTCCAATAAACTGTGAAATAAGCCAAAAATAGCTTTTATGTTAGGGGTTGTCATTATTAATAAAGCTTCAAAGTTCTTTTTTGTTTATGGTTTGCAAAAGTAGTAGCTGATCATGTGATCATTATGGGTGCCATGTTAAGATCCCTACAGAACACTATATTTCTCAAAAGTACTATTGAATTTTGAAGGTCTAGTGCTTCTTTAATTTCTTCACAGCATTAGCATGAGGAGGCGTGAGGAGGTATGAAGAACATACCCCGTTTTGATGATTAAAATGTATCTTAGATTTAATAAACAGGCCTCAAAGCACTAAGGGGGTTACTTTACCTCCATATCTTAATGAATATTTCAGTATGGTCTGTTCTCTGAGGCTAGTTTACAGCACTTCTTAGCGCTCAGAGTGCCGTTAAGTTTGAACTTAATCACTGTCCTGGTAACACGGCCTGAGGGTCCCACTAAACCTCTGAAACTTTCCTGCATCAGGCCAGAGTTTTACTGCGTAAGTGGACGTGTCTCCTGTGGTTTGGGTGTTCTGCCAGGCTGTGATGCTCCCACTTCTCTCTTCCTGTCATTAGTCATGTTGCTGTCCTCATTGGCAGGTTTATGCTTTCATAAACATGTCTGACAGAGAATAATCAGCCTTGTCTCTATACTTTTTAAGCATTAAACTTATGTTCAAGATACTTTAACTGTTTCTTATTATTTTCACTTATAATATTTAATAACTTATTTCTGTATGAATTATTTTGCACATCTTTTTTGTATATTATGTTTTGTACGTGTAACCATTGTGTAATTTTTTGCAACTAAGTGAAAATAGTTTAGCAATCTTGGTAACACTTTACAATAAGGTCCCATTAGTTAACATTAATGTGTTAACTAACAATGAGCAATACATTTTTTTACAGTATTTGTTCATCTTTGTTAATGTTAGTTAATAAAAATACAGCTGTTCATTGTTAGTTCATGGTCCATTAAATAATATGTTAAATAATATATGCTAAAATCTGTTAGTAATTGTTAAAATTGACATTAATTAAGATAAATAAATGCTTTAGATGTATTATTCATTGTTAGTTCATGCTTCTGTTGTTAACTATTATTGACAAATGGAACATTATTAAGTGTTGCCACAATAAACATATCTTAATAAGCATAATCTATATAGGCATAATTTACACAGAAAGGAGACATTTGAAGTAAAAAAAAAAAAAAGAATACTCATTGTGTAGCACTATATCAGCACATGTGCCATGTTAACCTGGTTTGTGGGTGGTTAGTGAATAAGACGCAGGTCACTGAAATAATATGTGCAAAAGTGGTTTAGATTTAGTAAATTCACCCCTCAGGAGATCTTTAAGAATCTGCTACCATGCAGATTCTTTAGTTGTATTTTGTATGGAGATGTGGGGTTTTAATGGGGACATTATGATGTCATGGCTTTGAGTGACAGCTCCCCTGGGCCAGTCTGTGTTCTGGTGCAGATGTTTGGATGCTTGAGGGATTGAGTGTATGCCCTCTCTCCATGAACATCACTGTCATCATGAACACATTAGCATTGCGTTAGGAAATGTGTTGGATCTGTGTCCCACTCTAAGTGACTGGGAATGATGACTGCCCACGCCCTTAACTTGCACTCAATGGCCTCTTGGAGGGATATTAGTGTGCTCTCTCTCTCTCTCTGTGTGTGTGTGTGTGTGTGTGTGTGTATATGTTCCTTTTCTGACAGATTCTTATAGAGATGGTGGATCACACCATATGGGTTTGCATTAGCTGTGGAAAAAATCACATGCATTCTTTGTGCCTGTGCATGCACATATGGAAAAAGTGATTTTATTTTATCTTTTTTAAGAAACATCTCTAAGAAGATAATTTACTTGAGAGGCAAAAGTGCATAATATATTAAATCTTGTTTTCAGAGAATCTGGAAGTTATGTTTATTTTTCCAACTCCCATTGGCAAATAGTTGTTCATGTTTTAAGCATTTTATCTAACAAAATTTAGTTTTTTTTTGTTTTTTTTTACGTTTTAAAACAAGAAAAATACATTTAATTCAAGATGAAATCCAAAGGCTTATTTTCTTACAAAAATTTTTCTTCACAAGTAAATTTATCTTTGAAGTATTTTAAGCATTTTAGATTTTAATGCCAGAAAACAAGAAGAAAATATGCAATGTGTGCATCTTAAGCCTTTTTTTCTTGTATTCTCAATGTAATACTGTCATTATTTACTTGGCCTCATGTTGTTCCACACTGTATTACTTTCTTTCTTCTGCAGAGTACATAATAAGATTGAAAAATGCTTCATTGTTTTTTTGTCTATACAATGAAGGTCACAGTTTTGACTCTCAGTGGACAAAAAAAATCTTGTTTAGACTTGAATCTTTCTTCAAAATATCTAATTTTGTGTTCCACAGAAAAAATATGAGAGTTCCTTATGTCTGTTATTACCCTCAGATATTGATGAGTGCCAGATTCAAGGAGTTTGTCCCAATGGAAACTGCATAAACACTATGGGAAGCTACAGATGTATCTGCAACCCAGGCTTTGTGCCTGATCCCAGCCTGACCACCTGCTTCCGTAAGTCTCTTCTCTTCTCTTCTCTTCTCTTCTCTTCTCTTCTCTTCTCTTCTCTTCTCTCCTCTCCTCTCCTCTCCTCTCCTCTCCTCTCCAAGTGTAACTTGGATGGCTGATGTCTTTGGCATGTCCCTGCTGTCTCCTTGTTTACCTACTCAAAGATATCTACAAATGTAAATGGAATCAGTGCAGTGCTAATCACTTCAGCTTATAGCAGTAAGACTGGCTGATTAGTCTAGCTAGCAGCATGATTTAACATGGCTTCTAACACTAACCGAGGCTGTCACGTGAACGGAGGGTTCTCTGCTGTTCAGGCATGAACATGTAACAGCAAGGTTGAAATGTGCTGGTATAATTCGTGCAGTCGGGTCAATGGGGCACAAATACGCTCAAGCTGTCTCTGTGATTTAATGAAGTAACCTAAGTGTGCTGTCTGTGTTATTGTGATAAATATAGTGGCTGTTCCTTCTCCTGGAAGCCAGCGCTTGCCAAATTACACCTCTGGAACACGGCACGCCGTCATGTCCTTTTGTTAGGAGAAGATCTGAGAGTTCTTTTAATCCTCCTTTTAGCCTTCAGTTTTTTGCTCATATATACAGTATGTTTTGGCTGACAGTATAAGGTCTGTCAACACAAATCTGCTGTTATCTGCTATATGAAAATGTTGAATTGTACATCTCTATAAAAAACTTGGCTTGGAACTAGGGCTGGGTATCGATTCAGATGTTCCAATTCGATTCGATTTCGATTTTCAAGCTCTCAATTCGATTCGAGATAACGTCTGTGATACATTACTCAACGCTGCAAAAACACGTAGAAACATTTGAAGCTCCCCTGAGCGCAATCACAAGTATGATGATGATCTGGTCAGTCGCACTGGTGCTCCTAAAAAAATGTTTTAGTCGCACTGTAGAGCCCTGGAAGGTGGTGATGACCTCGGGAACGCACCTGAATCCGCCATTTTAAGCAATGAATGAATGACGGACTCTCCGCTGTAACATCGCTCAAGGCAAATAAGGGGGTGACATCTAGTGGATTAGACTAGTAATAAGATTAACGTAAATCTTATGTACAATGTTTGTGGAAATAAATATTGAAAAAAATCGATTCGTGGCCTTCGAGAATCGATATTGAATCGACCACATATTAAAAAACGATATATCGAAAAATCGATTTTTTTGCCCAGCCCTACTTGGAACTGGCTCTTTATTAAAGTGAGAAATTAATATGTGAGAAAGCACATTGACAATTCTTTTATACTGTATATCTACACATTTACCTGAAGGCACTCATCCATATTGTCACATTAGACAAAGTGTCAAAAAAGTAAGTGTCTAACTGTATTTTAATTATTTAACTTTGGGTGTCATTCCCTAATAATTAAACATATAACAACATACAAATCCTATATGTGACCCTGGACCACAGTCATATAAGGGTCAATTTTTTGAAATAGAGATTTATACATCATCCGAAAGCTGACTGTAGATGATTTGTTAGGATAGGGCATTATTTGGCTGAGATATAACCTTTTAAAATCTGGAATTTGAGGATGAAAAAAATCGAAATATTGAGAAAATGTCTCAGGTTACTTATGTAACCATGGTTCCCGAGTAGGGAACGAGACACTGCGTCCTCTAGGGGTCGCTAAGGGGAACGCCTCGTCGTGACCCGTGTCTGAAGCATACATTGAAAAAACACCAACTTGTTGGCCGGCGACAGCCATGACGTCACTACCGGTTCCAGATCCACCTGCGATCCCCACGAGCTCATTCCCTTCTGTGCCTTGTGAGACAAATGAGAGCGGAGCCTTTTCCCTTGGAAAAAACGCTCGCAGTGCACGCCGATTGCCCCCTCGGAGACATCGCTTGCGTGCTCTTCGCCCAAACAAACAACGCATAGATCGTGTGTGTCATAAAGATATATAGAAATATATGTATATTACCATTCAAACATTTGGGGTCCATAAGATTTTTAAATGTTTATGCTCAACATCATACAACTGTAAAACTGTAATTTACTATTTTAAATAACTGTTTTCCATTTTAATGTATCTTAAAATGTATTTTATTTCTATGATGGCAAAGCTAATCTTTCAGCAGCTATTACTCCAGTCTAAAGTGTCACATGATTCTTCAGAAATCATTGTAATATGCTGATTTGGTCCTCAATAAACATTTTATATTATCATGAATGTTAAAAACAGTTGTGCCACTTAATATTTTTGTGAAAATCATGATACATTTTTTCATGACTCTTGATGAATAGAACGTTCAAAAGAACGGCATATATTTGAAAGATATTTTTTTTTGTAATAATGTAAAAGTCTCAATTTAATCTGTCATTGCTGTACAAAAAAAAATTATCTTACTGACCCCAAACTTCTGAACAGTTATATTTGTATATATACATATATATATATATATATATATATATATATACATATTTAAGAAGGTATCTGATAATAAGTGCTTCCTTATGTACTAACCCCCTGTATATACCCTTTGTCACATGCTTTCTGCTTAACTGACCTCTTTACACTTACTGTAGTTATATTCTTGTCCCGTGTTCTTGTCTATCTTGCGTTAAAAAACAATATCACTTTTTTCATACACCGTCTCTGTCATGCTTTCCCCTACACTCCACCTATAATGTGGTTATAGAGGCAGTTGTTCTTTTGTTATGGCATTGTAGTCATGCATAGATGGAACACAAGGTGAAGGGAATCTCTTTTCTCTTCTGTTGTTCTTTCTCTCTCTTCCATGTTTGTGTCATACACCGTGCACACTCCTCCCCTCCCTCCCTCCTTCCGTCTCCACGGTAACCAGCCGAAACACCTGCTCTTCGCGAGGAGAAAGGTGCTTGCTTCCGATTGGTCAGTTCGGGGAAGCAGTGCTTGCACCCTGTGTCCACTCAGCTGAGTAAACAGTTATGCTGTTGTAGTGTGGGCAAGGCCTGGGGTCCTCATTGTGACCGCTGCCCCCTACCTGGGACAGGTAAGCTACCTGAGACAAACCCCCTGTCAGCCCCACCTGTTCTACTTGTATCATTCCCTCTCTGTCCTCCACATCAGTGTGGTTTGCATGTGTGTTCCACAGCTCGGCTATTTAGATGCTTTTACACGCCATCACTCTGTTTTTGTTAGCTCTGCTGTAGAATTTTGCGTTTTCATATACACTTCTTACCTTACATTTGTATTTGCCTTCCCGTGAGGCCTGCAAAATTAGTTGATTTTTGCCTTTTGTGCCCTCAGACCATCAGATAGATAGATAGATGGATGGATGGATAGAAATACAGATGGGTGGGTGGATGGATGGGTGGATAGAAATACAGACAGAGACAGATAGATAGATAGATAGATAGATAGATTTGTGTGTGAATATGTTGTTGAGCATTTTTTCCTTCTCTCTTAGCTGCGTTTAAAGAAATCTGTCCTGGAGGAATGGGTTATCATGTCACCACACCGTACATTTACAAGCCCAAACCTCCTAATGGACACAGCCAGACAGACGGTCATGGGCAGAGCAAGCCCACCATCAGACACCAAGCGCCTGTGGATCATCCCATGCCCTTCCCCACCCTACAGCAGCCCGTGGAAGCTCTCAGCATTACAGAGAGGCAGCTACCTGGTGAGTCACACAGGACAGAAACTGAATGGCTTTAAGCTGCTCTATTTATCCAACAGTCTGAGTTACGTCTGTGAATATACAGATATTGTGTTTTGTTTGTTTTATTTGCCTCATGCTGGATATTACAAACATGTGTTAAGGAAACCTGCCAGATTTGGGTTTGTGATGCAAAGTTTATTTACATGATGGTCTGCCTGGATGCATTTTATGAAGGAGAGACACATACACACAATAACTACACCAGCAAGAACTCTTTCACCCTCTTCCCTGTCCTTCTTTCCTTCTCTTTTAAATGTCATCACATGCACGCTTGGCACCAGGCAATGGACTGAGACTTGGCACAGGTCTGGAGAAGACCGAGATCCAAAATGTAGCCAAGCTTCTGTTGTTCCTATAGAAAGTGAACATAGGACTGTTCTCTCTTTGGCAGAGACAGAGAGTCATTAGTATTGCTTCCACCTTGCAAAACCAATGTCAAAGCTGATGAAGGATTCCAGAAGATCAGTGCATCGCATCATATTTTCTCCTTTCACTACTCTCACACAAAATGAACTGCACAGATTTTTATAGCCTCTCTGCAAAAGCAGCTCATAAAAGCATTGCACAGCTGAAAAGTGTGGTGGAGGTGGGCCAGGTTCAGAGAGAAAGTATTTGTCCTTGGGCTTTATTAAGTTTTGTCCTGTTGCTGGGAGACCGTGTTTCAAAGTTGTTCTGGAACTAAAATTGGTCCACTGAAGTTCACCCTTTTATACATTACATGACCAAAAGTATGTGGACAGTGCATTTTTATTTTATTTTATTTTTCTTTAAATTCAGATGCATAGCTGGAAGCACTATTTTACTGAATTTACAAATGTGAGAATATTTGTTTTCTAGCTTTGTGTGACACAGTTAATTTTTGTGTTTTTATATGACATAATGACCTGCTGTAGTGCCCACAGTTCCCCGGCAGGTAGGTTGGGTTTGATTCAGCAGTAAGATCTGCTAAATACGCAGCACAGCTGATGCTTTCACACACATGTCAATGCAGCACTGCAAAATAGCAGCAAACTTGTGTGCAGGAACTGCAAACATTCAAAGCATAACATCATCATATCATCACTACTGCATGACCGCTCTGTGCGCTCAGCATTCTGCTCTACAGATGCACGTGTATGTGTCAGTGTGTGTCCTTTGCTTTGTGAATGATTGTGTATGTGTTTTTAATTAGCCTACATTAACATTTACAAAAGAGCAGTTTTAAGTAGAAGTTTTTAAGATTTAAAGTTTAAGATTTATTCTTTGGTTGTAACTTATTACACTCAAGATTGGTCTAGACATGCAGTGTTTAGCTGGTTTGCAGCTAAATGTCTCTTCAGTTTATGAAGGATAGAGATTAAAAGACACTATATTATTTCAAGAGCACTCTCAAATAATGTAATTAGGGAAGATGTTTCTATGTGATCAGCTCTTTGAGACTCTTTAACAGCTCAGTTTAGGGAAGCATGGCTTTCAAGTAAGATAAGCAGGCTTCAGGTTTCTGATCTCTCTGTGGAACAAAATGGATTTGATTTCACCCTTCAACGGCATTTTTTAAAATGCTTGGTTCCTCAGATTGTCACACTGGTGGAACCCTATGAAGAACTTCTAGGCACCCTTTCAGTTCTCTGATGAATGTACAAAGTGTAGCCCATAAGTTCCTTCATGTTCCTCCAGTAACCCCGTGAGGTTTTGATTCACTTAAAAATGAGTGAAGGATATTTGAGGGAGCTTCAAAAGTTGCCTAGAAGTTCTCTGAAGGATTCTGCCAGTGTAGCAATCTGAGGAACCCCAGTTTGTTTCACAATTATTTATATTTTTATGGTTTAACTTTCTCGTCCCAGAGCTACTGTAAATCAAGAGGGTATGCATTGTTTAGTACGTGTGAGTGTGGGTGTGTGTGTGTGTGTGTGAGAGAGAGAGACAGAAGAGGGCAGAGTTGGAGAGATTGCATCTCGCTTTCTTCCACACAACTTGAAAGACTCTGTCCCAATTGCCACCTTTAGCCCTTGCGGTCTATTTCCACACTTTGTTGACGTAATTCTGCATAGGCTTTCAGATAATATGCTGCATTAGTGCCACCTTGTCTCAGGGGCACTCTTCTTTCTGAAACGTAAAGTGATAAAGAGTATCATGGACTTTGCAAGACCGCAAAGCATCAAATGTGCCATTTGGGACAGGGCCCAAAATATTTACAGCTCCGCCCACTTTAACGCCCCATGCAGTCAGAGCAGAAGCAGACTGAATTGCTTATTCCTTTGCTTTAGTTGCCAATAAATTTGCTGTATCTCTTTGTGGATCAGTCGATTACTATGTGTGTCATTTGTTTCTTATGTTTGAAGGAGCTTTATACCCACATGAGTGTTGATAGGTCAGTAGTACAGCCCGGACAGGCCCAGCTGTCACCCGGGGTGTCTACAATCAGGATGGAGCCTGCCCTCCCAGGTCTCAATCCCACTTGTACTTGCATATCCCCATAATAACCTCTTCACCTATTTTACGTTTATAGTTGACCCACTGGTTTATGCAAAGATTTCTGAAGTCTTTGTGACTGGATTGATTCTGTTTAAATTGGAATAAAGCAATTAATTTCAAATGTGTATAAGTGGCCTAAACAAACACATCCAGATGGTGACAACAATGGGTGGATCTGTTATCTGCCAATGTGGTCATATTTAGTTTTTGTTTGTCATATTGAGAGAGATCATGAAATCATTATTTTTTTGTAAAAAAATCTTGTCCATGGCATTTCGTTGGACTTCTTAGCAAACTGTTGAATGTCCTGAATCTCTTTTCTTTCTCTTCCTATGTTGCCCCATTCCCTGTCACTCTCCAGAGGTGGTGGAGAAGGTGTCACCACCCGCTCCTGTGGCACTTCCGCCCTCCATAGAAAGTCAGGACATCTCCCCAACACAGCTGGCAGGTGAGTCCATCCATTCATGTAATGTATATTTGGGATGCACAATATTACTGATAAGTCTATAATTATATTAATGTTTTGGCTGGAAAAGTACTATTTTGTATAAATAATGTAATATTGATACACCAAAAGTTATAATCAGTCATTTAAATGCTAGAAACTTTACTCTTCATCCATCTCTATTCCGCTCTGTCCACTTGTTTTCTTATGGGCATATTTCAAGATCATGTTTTTAAAGGAAGGAGGCTCCAAACACTTTCTTTTAAAACATGTTACAAACACGGAATTAAAAACTGAACAGACTGCTCAATGAAACCTAATTAGATCTTTTGTGCTCTTTCACCTCTTGTTGATTCTTCTTCTTAACTTTATTTTTATTATTAATCCAGGGAGTGGTAAGCAAGAATGTTCCACTTTCATAGGTCAGAACAGGCCACAACAAGCAAGGGATTAATTAGGAAGTTGCAAAGATATTTTGTTCTTTGTTTCCGAGCAGATACCTATCACAAACCCTAACATTTATGTATTTCATTATTTTTTGTTAACACCAAGTCAACTAGGATCTTTTCTGCATAACTGTTGGCACAGGGTTAATAAGCCAACTTATGCAATTCACATTCTCCAGATACATGTTCAGCCATTCTTTCCTTCCCTCAGAGAAAGAAAAATTCATACCAAAGCCAATAAATGTCTGCTTCCAATAAGTGATGGAATGCATGACTTGTTTGTTGATTCAAAAGGTCATGTAGCCCTTCATTTATTAGTCTCTGATGTTTATTTAATGCATTGCCTTTACTGTGAAAATGCAAAAAAAATACCTTGTTCTTCATTCTCTCTCTCTCTCTCTCTCTCTCTCTCTCTCTCTCTCCACAGAGATTGACGAGTGTCAACTGACACCTGATATCTGTGGTGCAGGAATCTGTTATAACACTGTTGACAGCTACAAGTGCATCTGTGATGACGGCTATAGAATAGACAGTGAGGGCACCATATGTGTAGGTGAGAGTTCAAAGGTTAAACTACTGATACTGTAGATCTCAACATCCATTACCATTACCAAGAACTGGCTCTCTAATTCATTCCTTTGCGTTATGTAATGCGTCCATAAATCCATCATACATCCATTTGATATAGTCAGTCATTGATTAAACGGGCAGTGTTTGTGTGTCAAGGAACCTCTTAAAAGGATAGTTCACCCTAAAATGGAAACCCACATTTAGTTCCAAACATGTATTAGTTTCTAACTAATCTATCTTCTGTGGAACACAAAAAAGTAACCTCTAACTCTAGCACTCTCTATTCTAATTCTATTCTTTAAAAAAAAACTTGTCCCTTTTAGACTTGCAGTCTATTCATTTACTAACTGCTTGTTTTCTTAAAAGAAAAAAAAACTAAAACTATCTTTTTTAATCGTTTTGTATTCTATCTATTTGTTTTCTTTTTATTTATTGTCCAATTAACAAAAGCAAAAAAAGGCCTCTAACACTAGCTTGCTCTATTCTTTTTCTATTCTATCTGTTTCTATCTTTTTATTTATTATATAATTTAAAAAAAACCTTGCTACGTGTACTGCATTAAGCTAACTGAGGCTTGTTATAGCACTTGCATATCATTGCTCTTTTGTTGATTTTGATTGCTTCCATTGTCCTCATTTTTATAAAAGGGTCTGCTAAATGACTAAATGTAAATGTAGGTATTTTGAAAATATATTTGTCCACACAATGAAAGTCAATGGGGTCCAAAACAAAATGAAATAACAACAACAACAATAATTTTATTGGTGTTTTATTTGGTGTTCCACCAAAGAATGCAGAATTATCTTTTTGGGTGAACTTTCCATTTAAGAAAACATCTTCTTAGTCACCATAATATCTAATTATCTAAAACAGAACCAAACATTGACTACAATGCTTGTTTCTATGTAGAAATAGTCATATTTTGGAAAAATTACCATTTATATTTAATTTTTTTAAACCATTTTTAGACTCCATTTTTAGTATATGCCTGATTTTATAAGACGTCTATGTTTCTAAATCCAGGTGATGGCATCTCAGTAGGTTATATGCTATGAAAACACTTGATTCGAATAGGAATTTGTGTCTTAAACTGCCTGCAAAGACAGATCTATCAATTACCTGATGATCATTTTTGACAGATGTCGACGAGTGTGCAGAGAGCCCAAGTTTGTGTGCTAATGGTCACTGTCAGAACACTCCAGGCGGATTCCTGTGTGCGTGTGAGCCAGGCTTCATGCCTAACGAGAAGGGCACCAGCTGCTCCGGTAATTAAGAGACTGTCCCATATAAACTCACCCGTGTACACAAACTCACAGAGTAGGGTTCACAATCTTTGACTGGTACATAGATTTACTATTTAATTTCTTCAGCTCCTTCTTTTACGAATCTTTTTTTATCAATTATTTATTTTGTGAACATGTTAGAAGAGAAGAAACATGTCCCGTTTGGAAGTTTGAAGGTCTGTATTTTTCCTCGTGAGCCATTAGCAGTCCTCTCCTTCCACTTTCTTGGCCCTTATTTTGATCCAGACAGATCAGCACTCATATGAAGTCTGCTTTTGGTCTTGAACCGCAATGTGGTCATCTAAATACAGGCACAGCTCTGTCTTTTTCTCAACTCCAAATACATCCTGTGTGTGTGTGTCATTAGCTGGTTTTCAGGGTTTGCAGACAAGGTAGAAACCACCTCCCTGTGACACACTTTGAGGTTTGTGGAGGAAGAAGAGAGGTATTATCATACCCTCAACCGAGTCACCCAAATACCTCAGAACTGCTGCAGATGAGGAAATGTTCATGGTACTTGGAAAACACATCTTCTCCTCATATTAGGAAATCCAGAGTACAAGACATCCGGAAACTTCTGCCCAGAGTTACTCATTACATCCATTTAAACTGATATGGCCAGCACATTGGTTTCTCTGGTTAACTGGTTTAACTGTTCCAGTAATATCCTCTTTTAGTTTCATAGCAGTTACACATTTAGGAATGTGTCCCACCTTTATTCCACAAGCCAGAATTTGTGAAACTGCTACGGAATGGGGAGCGTCAGCTCTTTAATGCAATTGTTTGTTTGCTCAATCCCAGTCTATGAGACAGAAATTATTTCATTTTTGATCTGGGAGATTGATTTTACTCTTTGATTATGCATTATAATTGCATTTTCTTCACATCTAAATCTCCCATTTGTGCACTTCATTGTGCTCATAACACCGCTAAACCTTAGCTCCAGCATTCTTTGTAAATTTGGGGTTACCGAATTCGAGTTCTAGGTAGGTTGGAGATTTGTTATGAGATTTTATACCTCAATATGTGACCTTGTAATTCAAAGAAAATTGAAAAACTTTGTTTTAAGTGTTGAAAATGTGTCCTCATAAATACAGCTGTCTGCTTTAATGTAAAGCTCTTTAAAAATCTGTTGTGGTGGTGATTAGGTGATGTGTTTTCACACTCTAACTGCTTTAATGTAACACATCCATTCAGTGTAGAGATGAAGTATCTTTGGCAGCCGCTGGAAGCAGTAATAAAGGCAAATGGATGGTTGAGCATGTAGAAGGAAGAAGGCATGGTGCCGTCGTACATCACAGTTTCACAGTTAAGATGTTTTTCTTTGAGTAACTTCATTAATAAAGGTGTAGCAGAGAGATGGAGAACAAAATGAGCTTTCCTGCACATTTTGAGTCGATGGTTTCCTGTTCTCCTCACAGCAGGGCAGCAATAGCACCCATCCATAACAACAGACCCTCCTATCAAACCTTCACAGCTGGCACACGCAGACTCTCCACTGGCTGGATGGATATCATGAACTCGTATATGATTTTGAATCAGTCTATTAATTTCTGCTTGTGTCTATGTAGATATCGATGAATGTCAGGATGGGAGAGTGTGTCCGTCCGGTCTCTGCTATAACACTCTGGGCTCTTTCATGTGTTCTCCTTGTCCGGATGGGTTTGAAGGGAGAAATGGCCAATGTGTTGGTAATAAGCCTTTTTTTATTTAGCACAGCTACTTTTTGACAAATGAGGGGGCCTTTATAAATGTGACCCACAGAAGTGTCTTTCTTCAGATGTATTGTGTGCGTGACCTTCTCTGTGCAGATATAAATGAGTGTCTGGATGAAAAAGTATGCACTCATGGTCAGTGCTTCAATCGGGAGGGCTATTTCGTTTGCACATGTGATGAAGGATTCTCGCTCACTCCTGATGGCAAGGCCTGCATAGGTACTATCCTTCCACAGTTCAGCAGCTTTTAGTATTTTTCAAAGATTTTGTTTGTCTTGATCTTGTCTAACAAATGACAGATAAGACTCTCCAACCTTCAAGTGATTTTCTTATTTTGTTTTGTCTTGTTTGATGTATTTTGTTTTTGTTCTTTTTTTTTTTCATTTTGTGTTGTTTTGTTTTGTATTTTGTTTTCTTTTGTTTTATGATTAGTTTCATTTTGTTTGCATGTTGCGCAGCCTGGCTTTTAATGTGCTTTATGACAGCATTGTGAATTTCATCATTGTGATTGTTATACAACCAGGTTAAACAAAAACAGATAAAATGCAAGTGAGCAAACTGCAACTTTGTGTGTCACAGACATTGACGAATGCCAGGATGACAGTGTGTGCATCCAAGGTCACTGTCAGAATACAGAGGGGTCGTTTATCTGCAACTGTGAGCCCGGCTTTATATTGTCGTCCACAGGAGACCAATGTAACGGTACGAGAGTGCATGTGTGTGATATGTAATCATGTATTCATTTTAAGGGCATCTGGGATTGATTCTGTGTGCAATGTTGAAATATTCTGATGTTTACAGACGTGGACGAGTGTTTGGAGTTATCTCAGACCTGTGATGGTGTGGGGCAGTGCGTCAATATGTTGGGATCTTACCAGTGCAACTGCCCACAGGGATATAGACAAGTTAACGGCACCAGCTGCCAAGGTGAGAATCATACAAACCCACGTATACAGAGGCTGTGTTCTAGAATAGTATACTATCATACTACTCTTACAGTTTCTGCAGCATGTACTATATATAAAATGCATTTTGTGAATTTAAGTGTGCTTAAAGCACATGGATGAGCAATTTGATACAATTGAAGAGTCCTGCTGAAAGAAAC